CTTTAGTCAAATAGGGAGGTGAAAAGGGGGATGGAAGTTTACTACAAAATTTGGTTCCTAACCATATGTATATATATATATATATATATATATATATATATATATATATATATATATATATATATATATATATATATATATACCGACTGTTTTTGCTTCATAATTAACATTTGGAAACACTTTAAAATATGCAAACCCACCTATAACAAGTGAAATAGGTAAACTGTCTAAAGACAAAAGGGCAAAATATTTTCTATCCTAAAAGGCTCCATACTTTCTTATGCAACTCTGTGATAGGAATTGATATATACATAAACATGATGCACAATTCTTTAAAAAAAAACAATCTAGGCACCCGTTTTTTCATAGCTTTTTAAAGTCCGCATGATTTATTATCGACAAGAAGAACCCTGCGTTTATAAAGAAGCTAATCACTTGAGTAAATCTTAGTTCTTATTGTTTTACTTTTCGCGTGACGTTCAGTCCTCATGATTATTATGATTATTTATTATTATTACTGTTAACAATTCACCTTCCAGGCCCCCTTTGCTTGCTTGAACCTCCTTAATTCAAAGAAAACATATTTCTTAATCGAAATCGATAAAGAAATTAATATCTCGCCTCGATAAACAACGACAACAACAAATATTTTTGTCCCTGGAAATTCCTTGTAGGAGCCCTACAAAACACTGTAATAGCAAAAATATGTGTCTAATTGTCGTCACTTAGTCCTTAAGAGGAATGCTATGTGTTCACACCGATAAACTACAATTCACATTGTTGGAATAATACATAGGAAAGGCTTAAAATGGACGTGAAAGAGCCCATTTTAGATATCCTTTTTACCTTTTGATCTATTGGGGTCTATAGAATCGCTGGACAATTAATATACAAAATCATTTTTAAAGAATCAATTTTTTTTGCAAAAACTATTATATAATTATAATTAGTTTTAATACCAACACATTTGTGGAAGGCTTATTTTGTACTAGTTAGTTATGACTCACTGTTCATTGACTTGAATCAGTTCATCAGTCACTCAAAGTGTGTTTACAAGGACTGATGCTATAGAGGGGGATCCACTTAGTCCATTCTTTTTACGACTTTTTAAGGCAAGACACGCATCCATCCCTCATGCAATTTGCTTTAATTTGCATTCAATCATTGCAGTGAGAAAGAGAGCGAAAGAGATATGCATCATTTTATTGTTTTTCAAGTAGTTGTACAACAATCCTACCTACCTAACTATGTGTGTGTGTGTATGGAACAAATTGGATCCTCCTTAATTACACCTTCAAAATTTAATTACCCGCCTTAATGGTTCCTACGTGAGCCATCGAGAAGGAGGAACTGCACTCAAAGACACTCTATAAACTCTCGTTTCCTGTGATGCGATCCCCTATATGTTAAACGCTATCGGTAGCTAAATAGATCATGATGTAATTCAATGTTGGATCATAATTTTGGGGGGATTTTTAAATACAAGCGGGAATTGGGAAAGAAAAATATTTTACATATTACAAACTCAAAAATATGGCATTCCGATCGAATACAAAATTGTAATTAGCCAGAAATAGTATGTCACACCTTTTGGAATCTAGTGGATGTTTCAACAACTATGATACAACAAAGCCACTGGCATAAGGATGCCACATAAGGAACTTTTTCTAGAACGTGATTGGTTGAAAAAATGGTTCATTATCAAATTATAGGTATCATTTCACTCGATACTTTTTGAGTTGTGAACAGGAACCATGAGATAAGAATGGCATCCTTTATAGCACTAAATGCCGATTCTCATGTCCCTTGAAGCATGCTACTTACTATCAATTTACTATTCCAATATTAACTACTTGTTTTAACTTAACAAATAAACATTCACACCTCAGGCCAACGCTTGTTTTATTATCCTTAACGACAAATGCATCCTTACTAATAGAATAAGAGGTAGAATCAGAATAAAACCATGGGTTACTAACTATGAAAAACAAAATGTAATGTTGAATTGGAGAGAGCCACCATATACACAACCTTTTCTTTGACAGGACAAACAGATTATATAACTTTCGGTTATTACGGATCTCGTTCTTATAGAAACAATACTTTAGACGCATTAAAAATATAGTGCAACCAAAAATCAAAGTGTGTTTACATAATTAATTGTAATGAAAGCCTGATATATTATCCTGGGAAAATATGTTAAATATTGACCAAGGAGTAGAATTTACTCATTTATGTGGTGATCATTTCCCATTATGATCCAATACATTTTGCCAGTACGTTTACTGAAACAACCAAATATTTAGTTATGGTTAAATTTATACTTCAAGGACATTTACTTATCTCCACCAGTGTTAAAAATATAACTTTGATTATATTCACGAATATGTTTCATCCAAGAATGTTCCTTCTAATTAAAGTTCAAAGAAATTTAAAACATACAAAGCAATGCATTTAGGTAATAACTCTTATTCACTAAAATAAGTCGAAGTACTGCGTATATAGAGGCTTTTTAAAACTTTGAAATGATATCAATTTTCTAACACGTGTTTATAATTAAATGAGTTAAAGCATATTACCTCATATTTTTTCATATAAAAAACGTTTTGTTTGTTGTACAAAAACAGCGAGGCTTTGTCTGATATTTAAGGAGTGATAATCACATTTTTGTAGGTGCATACACTATAATTATCGCATCCGCTAATTAAAACAATTATTATTTTTGCTCGTAAAAGAAAATAATGATATTTACAATTGTCTACAACAAATATAAAAATACACAATAAATTTATTGCATCGGCTATTTTTGTTTTATGAGAAAAATAAATAATATGATAAAAGTATTAATAGCGTTTTGGGAATTAAATATATTGAGATCAACTTATATATTTTCATGACTTAAATTCCATCAACTTGTGTCAAAGCAGTCATCAGCTTTGTCAGAGTCTTCGAGCGTCTGGCCTTATAACAAGGCTTGTGGGTGTTCGCAATCTTAGCACTCGCCTGTTCACCCGTTCGATTAAAAAAAAATCCGTTCAAGCGTTCGTCCGTTCAATTTTTTAGCGTTCGTCCGTTTGTTTTGCCGTTCGTTGAAAAATGCCATTTTAAAAAATGTCTCCACTCTTATTCCAGAATGACTTACAGTAATTTTAATTGCACTTCTTTATGTAAAAAAAAACCGTCCTCACTTTTTAAGTGACACAAGAAACATTGATTGAACTTGTTTTTATAAAAAAACGTCCACACTTTTGAAAATAATATAAATTGAACGGACGAACGCCAAGAACAAAAAATCCGTTCGTCCGTGACTTTATATTCTGTTCAGGCGTTCGATTTTGAACGTGCGTTCGCGAACGGCGTTCGTTTTTCCGTTCAATGCTTAGAACCCATACCTCGGTCAACGAAGGAAGGGACGTTATTTGAAGCCTTCTTTTAATTGTTTGTCTCAACACCTTTGTATGATGATACATTTTTATATAAGAAATAACTATTAGCATTCTTATTGTAGGCTAATTAATTAGAAGTTGAACTTTAGCATTTAGTCATGTTTTGTGGCCAAAATTTATAATAAAAGGTTTATATATGTATTATTTTGGACAATAATGCAGATACGTCAATTCACGTAGTTCATATTATTATTTCTTAAATAGTATTTGTTCGGTCGTAATTTGGTGAATACTCTTCATTAACTTTTACGATAAAAATCGCTGCTTATTTTGTTGTTGTTGGATAATTTGGAAAAAATAATAACTCCTTCTCTCGAAATGGGATTAAACAACTAGAATCACAGCTGTCGTCAATTGACACAAAGTGCTTATAATTGAATGTGAAAATCGATTGGTGAGAAGAAGAGATAAAAGTTGTTCAAAATTTCATATAAAATGTCTAAAGTTTCATAGGAAATGTCAAAAACTCATTGAAAATTTCTACAAACTCATGCATTTTCAATTTAAATAGTGTTTAAATTGAAAGACAAAAAAAGGAATTTTCTTCAAAACTATACTCAACTTCAGAAGATCGTCACTATCTACCTTCCCCAGGCTGGTCCATGATATTTTGGGCATACAGTTATACTTTTATTTGTCATGCAACTTCAAATGATAACCCTCAAGAATTCCCCATAGATAAATTTGGAAAAATTGCATAAAAAAGTTGTGAATTTTAAATATCATAACAAGAACTGCACATTTTGTTGCTTTAAATATTGATAAAATATGATCTAAAATGTCAATTGACGTCAGCTGTGCTTCTACGGCTAACATCTTTTCATCACAATCTTTCATACTTTCATTAATATTATCAATTGTGAAATAAAAAAATACTATTTGTCTATTTATGAATATACTTGCATATTGAGATAATAACACCTTGATCCCATAGTTACACCCTTTACTACCAATATAATTATTTTCAAAAACCAAACATAAATAGCATAGCATTAAGATACTAGTTATTCCAAAGGATATGTAAATGTACCTGTCCTGGTAATGTTGATACTAATACTTAGTCCGATTTACAGATATTGCACTGAATATAAACTGTCATGGTGGGATCTTCAAGGTCGAATTTTGATATTTGCTTTTTTTTCTCTTTCATTTTGTATGGCCGTAATTCCATGGCCATGGCCACCTCCTCCGCCACCTCACAATCAACACAACTTAAATTAGGATCAATCTTATAGAAAACAGGATATTGCGTGTCACGGTGACTTGGATTTTATACACAATATGTCAATTAATAAGAAGTAATAACATATTGATATGAAAGATAGAAGAAATAAAAAAGAAGAAATAAATCTTTTCACGCATGAAAAAGTTCATAAACAACAACTCATAGACAGGGTTTTAAACCAAGACACACTTATGTGGAAAGTATTCCCAACAACGGATAAATATATAGTGTGAAAAATCCCTTCATAATATAGCTTTCTTACTCATTGTGAATATTTAACTCGGTGTCTATATAAATTTACTAAATACTGAATAACTTTGAGACACCCAATGATCTTGGGTGGTCCAGTGTACGGGCTTTAAACTTGTATCTGCTTAACGGCAGAGGGCTTCGATTCCACCCTCGCAACAACTCAAATCAAATGCTGCAGTTATTACAAACTGCAATATTGCATCTATACATAGGATCAAGGCAAAGGAAAAATTAATTTCACACTCTATTTTAATCAATACAACACGAAAGTTATTAGTCTTATAACAATAATAATTTGAACCACTTTCCAATGGTGCGTAGTTTTAATCAATTATTTTATGTTTTGCTCAACAATAATGCAAGTTTCCTCTTTGTCTGTATATTTCCATGAAATATGGAATGCTCTCTATCAACACAAAAAAACACCTTTAGACCGACAGAGCCTTTTATTCACAGCATTGATACAGGTATCTACAATGTGTCATCTTAAATTGATGCACATTCTAAACCCATCAGGATCACAAAGGTGGACATTGTCGTGAAGTTTATAGGCCTTCTAACATAGGTTGGGTGTCTATTTATGATTTCGTTGAATTCAACGAGTCAGTTGACAATGTATCAAGCTTTGTCGCGCCTGTTATACACTATCTGTCTTGTTCAGAGTGACTGGCTACTCCAGAAAGACGATACATTGCATGATTTTACCGACTGGGCTCTCAAAAATATAAATGTAAAGGTTAAAATAGATTTTCAACCAATCACAACTTGATTGCTTAAATGTTGGTGGCTCTGTTGAAGTGCAATTGTGAACTCTTCCGAACTGATGCAATCCAAGCACTGATTATTATTTCATAAAGGACCATAACAACTCATTCAAAAAACTAAATTAGCTCCAACTTTATGAGTCAACCCATGGCTCTGAAAATATGACAATATAGCCATATTATATAAACAATTCTGGTTCAAAAGACTTGAGGAACTGTATAATAATACGGTGCAAGGAAAAATGTCCGTATGACAAATTGAAAACAGGAAAACTACAACCATCCAAATATGGAATTATTACAATCCATGAGACATATGGTTCTTTAAAATTGGCTAAGCATATGCTATTTATCTAGTTACGACGGGGTTGGAACCAAAAAGTTGGAAGGGTCTTTGAGGATGAAGCATCATTTACAGAGCTGGGATTCGGTACCGCCGATTTGGTAGATTTTATTATATATCTACCAAATATCGATCGGTGCGGTAGATAAGAAAGAAAGAATAATGTATTTATGTATCGGCTCCGTGACTTCTTCATATGCATTTAGTATCGGACAATTTATAACAATAGACAATTAAGTACATACAAATCATAATTGCACTCGGATTTTGAAGGAAATGGAAGGCAAGGGCAAACAAATTATTTGCTGAACTGTCATTTGTTAGTCGTTGTCCGATATTAATTGCGCTTTCAGCTACGGAGTTGTTTATTTATTTTGTAAAGTTTCAACTTCTTCACACCAGGTAACAACGCTTCCAGTTCTAAACACCGATTTACATTCGGGTGTCGCAGCTCTGATCATTTAATATGAATTGCGTTCAATTGATCAATTTATTGTTTACTTAAGTTTTAAAAAAATACTTTTGCAGTAAAGGTATAAGTGAACCGAATATCCTTGTATCCTTTTAGGATTCACTACATCATCAAATTGTCATCAAAGATCCTCATCATTTACGGCACGAAGGTTCATTGTGTTTCTCTAATCATGAGGGTTCATCTTCTCTTTCTCTCTCTCTCTCTATCTTTATATTTGTCTCTCTTTCTTCCTCTCTTTGCGCGGCAATTCAAACCTCGTTCATCATCTCAGGAATTGCTTTAATTTACATTTTGATTGTGTATTATGATTGAGGAAGAAGAAGGAGTAGGCAGGAAGGCAGGCAGGCAGATATGGAGGGAGGTCGTCCTCAAGTCACTAAGGGGTTGAATTATGATTTAATGCTAATAGGCATGAGCTGATATTATATATATGTGCTATTATTATTAACAACAACATAGCTTCAAACAATGATGCATGGGAACTCAGGAGTGAATGGGAGTAAAAAAACAATCAATTGAGGTATTTAGTACTGCAGTCTTTTTCGCTATATAAAAAGATGTAAAAAAGAGGAACAAAACCTTTGAATGATTATTCCGGATTGAAGATCCCTATATCTAAAGCAGGGATGCCAGGGTGAAATTGGTCAGGGGGCCGGACTGTTTTCAAGTGGGACCTCGGGGGGCCAAATTACCGGTACATTTTTGGCCTTGCAACACTAAACACTAAACAAAAGTAGATTTAAATTTGTTGATATTGTATCATAATATTATTTATTTATAAAAACACTTCTCAACCACTAACGTAACGGGCCAAATGAGATGTCTATTCGGGCCGGTTCCGGCCCGCGGGCCGCCACCATGGCACCACTGATCTAAAGGCTAACATGTTATTTATGGGATATAGAGGAATTTTTGGCCATATGAAACTAAGGCCCTTGATTGGTTTGATGATTGAAATACTTTCCTCTTCAAATATTTGGCCGTTCTCATACAATAATGAAGAAATAAAGACTTTTCTTGGCAAATTCGTTGTCCCGTAGAATCATTTTTGCAATAAAATTCGTATCCTTTTCTTAAATGTATGGGGAAAGCATTTATTATTTTCCCTAAATTTGGCTCTTTCCTTAACTTCATTTCAATTTCTGACTTTAAAGTCCATAATAACTGCTTTATTTGCAAAATATGCTTTCTTGGACACTCAAAACTCCCTACATAAATGAGAAATCCTGGACGTTGATCGTATTCGAAGTAAAACACTTGTCTTCAACGCCTTCCTCATTAAGAATTAAAAAAAAAACCATGTTATTACGACTTTACTGCTACTGTAAGGACACAAACACTTTCCATCGCATGACCTTTTCTTAAGGCTCATTAAAGTCCCTCCAAAGAACGTGCAAAAACACAAAACAGCAATCAATCCCAATTAAGAAGCCCCCTCCCCCTACTTGTACATCTAACGAATTTTAGGGAAATCATGTTCATAAAGAGACCAATAAACCTCCTTCCCTCCAAACACTTCCTCTTCCTCCCCCCCCAAAAAAAAATAAAACATGTGCTAGAAGCTAACATATTATTATACATATATAAATAGTAGAAGAGGAAAATTCTTATGAGATTTTTTTCCCCTTCATAATATATTTCTTCTTTTTATTATACAAAAATAAAGGAAAGAGAGAAGGAGAGAGAGAGAGAGAGAGAGGAAAAAATCTATAATAGGGATACATCGAAAGGCACTGAAAATACTTGATGGATTCGGGTTGAGTAAATGAGACTCCTCCATACATTAAATGATGAATAAGTAAGGATAGTAATCCATGATGACCTTTTACTAGAGCTGTGACAATGTAAATCAGTATTTAGAACTGGAAGCGTTGTTACCTGGTGTGAAGAGGTTGAACTTTGCTCAATAAATAAACAACTCATTCAAGCATCTTCTTGACATTTACGCAGATGATGTCACACTTTATGTCGAAGGAAACTCTGAGCTTCAGGTGTGTAATAGAGTGGCCATTCTAATCTCCTTTTTAAAAGATTTAAGAAACACTCTGGACTGGAAATCAACTGCAAGAAAACTGCTATCCTCCCTTTGGACAGTGGTGCCCGAAAGACAATACACATATTATGGGTTGCCCAGTGAGGAACAGTCTAAACATACTCGGTATTGAGTGGAAACGCAGTGGAAATTCAGATTCAAATAAAAATAGTTTGGCCAACTTAATTAGAACAAGTCTAATGGAGTGGAGAAAATACAATCTTCAAACAAGAATTGATTTTTACAATATTAAATTTGTTCCCTCAGTTCTCTACTTCGCAAACGCTTTACCCACAATTGCCCTTTGGGTGATAGAGGAAGAGGACTCTTGGCTCCATAAACTCTTCCACAAAAGTTATCTTCCATCCCTGAAGAGATCTAAAAAACAACTCGGAGGAGGCTTGGTGCAACTTTCCAAAGTGTTGCCAAAAATCTACAAGAAAATTTTCATCGATCTTTCGTGCAACCCAGAGCAGGAGTGGAGGTCAACAGTCTCTAATAGCCACATTTACTCCATTTTAATGATGGGTACCCTAGCCTCCAATGTGCTATTAAAAAATTCTCCGATATGGGCTTCATGTCAAAGAATATTATGGAGTCTTACGCCAACCTACGACTTTTCCTCTACTGTAGACATTATTCATTATAACTCCAAGAAAAGGGCCTTTTTTGGGCAACATGCAACTCCCCAGAGCTTGGAATTAGACGCCTTTAGAACAGAAACTTTCACCATCCACGATTTAAAAAAAGATGTAGACTGTGGTCTTAAGCGGGAAAGTTTTACTTCCCACTTCTTAGAGCAGCTAGGCTTCATACATCGCCTACTCCTTGGCATATTAAATTAAGTACAACGCCCGGACCCGACGAGGACGCTAAGAAAATCTGCCGGGTTTTTATTCAAGACCTAAATCTTCCGCAAAGATGGGAAAAAATAATTATGGAATCAACCAACGTTAAGGATAGCAAAAAATTCACCTCACAATTTCAAATCTCTACCGGTTGCATCTTTTTCAACTTTCCTTGTAAGGACTGCGGAAAAGTCTATAATTCCATCATTCACGCTTTCGCTGATTGCCACGCCCTGTCATATCTTCGTGCTTTCGTCACCCATAACATAAGTCATTTATACAGCTCTGAAAATGAGGCTAAGTTTTTATCGGCCTATATCCTATTTGGTAATCCTCTGGGGGCAGCGACTGCATCTCCTGAGTCCAAGCTCTGAGTTTTGCACTTGCTAGCGCTAAAGCTCACATCGCTGAGTGTTTAACCTCCAATACACTCATTCGTAATGAGTCGTTCAAAAAATATTTATTTCTGCGGCTGCAAGATATGGAGCCTTTGCCCTCAAGATTCCACATTCTAAGAAAGTGACGTTATGGGACTTCGCCGCGGATATCGTCAAAGTTTTTCCTCAGTGGTCCTGTCATTTTTACTCTCGCTTGAGACTCATTGTAAGAAGATATAAGAGGACTTCAAATGACATCATCGAGGGAGCCGTGCAATAAAGGATGTGCTTATATACTATTTACAATTTTTTTC